CCATACTGCTGGTGTTGCCGCTGGTGGCCGAATGACACACATCAGCTACAGGTTTTGGATACGAAAGCAATCCTAATTGTACTAACTGATCAAAATTTTCCTTTTTGAGTAAAGTAGCACCCCGAACAATGCCATCGAGATAATAGGTATTGCACGCACTTGCATCACCTTACTTCATAATTTTAAACTTCATTTACCTTTGCTCAAGTTATATTCACACGTGACGTATGCTCCATTACTTGCTCAAATTTTGTTCAATTAAATTTAGCCTAATGCACAGTTGATTCGCTTAACTTTAGAACTATTGCTTATGATGATTTGGTATATATTGGATAAATTACGCACTTGCCTCGAACGCCCTAATGCGTGTAGCGTTTTGTACATTACCCGGCTTCAAAGTGATATTCCCTAGGCATGTTCGAAAGAACATTTACGTCGATGAAACTTTACAAGTTTCTCACCTCGACCATTAGAGAATGTATCCCTATGAATGAGATATTTTATCGATTAATCTTCCACTTTCGGAAGCGCCTTCGAAATATGCAAACGCAGGGGTAGTCGTAGAGAATTTTCTTAGTTCCACTTTCTCTAAAGAAATGTATCCTGAGCTCTAGTTTGTTCGTATGAGATGTGGTATGGAAGAACGATGAAGAACACGACCATGTAACCATATTGTAGCGATGCTGAGGCAGACAGGTTAAAAAAACAAGAATCTTTATCAGGGCGAACTTGTGCCCACAATTTTAAAGAGTATGGTCGTCAATTCCGAGTAGCTGAGTGACACAGATCCAACTGTCTTCCTCTTCCTCGTAGCCGGAGCGCACTAACGCGTGGTGCATGCCAGCTGGTGCTGGTGCCACAATGATTGTGGCGGGCTGGTTCAAAGTGGCCAACCTGTCGCAGCAATATTTATATTCACATTTACTTCGTTAAATACTACGTGTTACGGGGGGTAATGCACGGTGAAGTTCCAAACAACATGTAATGTATTGCCAAAGAAGACATAAGTCTATAAAATATCATGATTATTATTAATAAGTATGATAAAAATAATGATAATCCTCTGTTAACACTGCTACTGATAATAAAATATGCCGATCTTAACACGAGTGGCACTAAGCCACTGCTGCTACAGTGCATGCTGGTACTTCCAGTACCCGCTCCGTTAAGCTGCGTATAATTAACTGATATGTTGGGTTTAGCGCCTATAAACCACCATGGTTGTGAGAGACGCTGTGTTGAAGGGCTCCGGAAATTTCGACCATTCGCGGTGTGCACCCAAATATCAGCATGCGGGCCTACAGTATTTTTGCCTCCATCAAAAGTACAGCTGCCGCCACCGGGATTTAATCCCGCCACTTGCGGGTCAGCAGCCGAGTACCTTAGCCATGAGACCACCATGGCAGGGCAATTCAGCTGCGTGTAGCTTGTGCCTAAATTAGCTACACAGAGAAGCTTCAGCGGTCATATATTTGAATGAATGTGGAGTTCACGTGCTGAGTGCTGGGATGCTACAAAAGCAGCCTGATGAAAGAGGACTGAGAGCTTTAGAGGCGAACCTTCTTAGGCCGTACGTCGTTCCCTGCAGCGCATGTAGTATGCTTCCGTGCATGCATCGGCGCTTCTGTCCGTTCATCCACCCATCTGTCTGTCCGTCCATGCGAACGTGCGTGCGCCCATCCGTGCTTCTGTCTGTTCGTGCGCGAACCCTTCCGTCCTTGTTTTCGTCAGTTCGTTCGGTTTTCCGTGTGCCCATCCGTGCGTCCATCAGTCCATCGATGAACTAATGGACAGAAGCAATTGCTTCTGTCCGTCCATGCTTCTGTCCGTTCGTACTGACGCACGGTCGAATGGACACACGGATTGACGCTTCACCCCGCTCATCATCATCACGACGTCAATATGCTGCAATTTTTCCTCAACGTATTTCAAAGCTTCCGACACGAGGAAGAGTCAACATGTATACTTTCCTGGCAAAACAGAGATGGTCTAAAGATATCGCGATGTCTAAACCAGATACTTGTCAAAACTGATGACTAGTGAAGACTATCTATCACGAACGAGATGTGTGATACGAGCCAAATTTAAAACTGCATGATGTTTACAGGTAGCGCGATGCCGTGCATGGTACAATAACTCCGTCGTTCTGGCATCTCAGCCTTCTATGCCTACGGGAGTTTCTTATTTCTATGTGATATCATCGCGAGACTTCCCTATGTCACATTACCACGAGCGGAACCAAAACTTAGCATCTCGTATGAGGGTAGGTGGATCTTATTAACGTATAGTACACAGCAGCTTCGAAGCTGTTGGCTCAGAAGCGATATCGGCGCTGAGCCAGAGGCTCAAGCAGCAGGTGATGGCATGAACTAGCTACCACCTATACACCGCATATTGTGTACCAACAAAATATTCTGCTGATTCATTCACCCTTGTGCATCTTGAAATATTTTGCGGTTCAGCAGATTTCGGCGACCTAAATCTTTCTGAAACAGCACGCTGCCCCTTGCCGTTCCGTGGACGCACCTATAACCTGCCTCAAATCCTGTCACAGTGTATATGGAAAGTGTATATGACACAGTGTATATGGAAAGCGCTGCTTGTACTTAAAGAAAGTTATGGCCCTTCTATTTTTTTTCTGTTTTCGTAGTCGCAAAGAGCTCAGCGCTGTTTGGGGAAGTTATTACCGGGTACTGTTGCTTGAAAGCCTAGTATTCATTGACTGCTGACGTTTGCTGAAGAAGTGTTTTGGTCGTATGAAAGTGAGAACGATGGCTTCTGGGATCTTTTATTACTTGTTTTCACTCAGTGAAGCGACGCTGGAGCATTAACATGAATAGATGACGTGGTCACACGTAAGCTTAATTGATTTTTTTTTTAGTGTCAAGTTGCAGTTTAAGCTGAAATAAGATAACGGGGATCGGAAGTCTGAAGGAATTTATCCAACGTGCTAAATTGTCTTACGTGCCGAATTTACGGAAGGTACCATTATCCCCGAAGCCCGAAGCTAGCAGGTGCATCAGCTTCACTAGTAGTACTGCAAGTGTAAGATGGCGGTAATGACACTGCCCTATACTCACACACTCGTAGACCGTATGGTGAGATAGGTCTACTGCGAGAAAAAAAAAAGCACTAGCGATGCCACATTTCTAGTTTTCTTTGCGACTAAGTCAACAACTTTTTTAGCGTCCGTAAATTTGCACGCGCATCTGTGCACTTCGTGTGGGCAGCTTTAAACCAAAAGTTTGCGCAGTTCAAATATGTTGATGTCTGGTGCGATTCCATGATTTTTACACGCAATATTCAAAGCACTGAGAAGACTTTTCAGAGTATATGGACTTATTCTCGTCCTTTTCTTAAGAAGCAGACTTCAGCACTGGCGTGGCTGTGGTGGAACACCGCTTGCCATGAAAAAGGCCTGGTTCGTCTTGACTCGAACCAAATATTTGTTATTATTTGTTCATATTCATCTATCAAGAACCTTGGCTTACGGTTCACGCCAATTTTTGGCTTACGACCAACGACGCCACCAACTACACTGACGCCGGGATTTGAATTTCTGCGAAATTAGCTCTTTAACGCCATCGCGCAAAATTTACGGTACTGTAACGACTCCTTTTTCAGACATTCTATGCATTCTCAGTTGACGGTAGGTATATGTGCCATCTTTCTTCTTATACATTGCCCGTGTCTATTCAAGCCTTACCCTTTTTCATGAGTTTGTAACAGAAAGTTGGAATCAAATGATGGCTTTCCAATACAAACAACTTGCGCTTCGTCTACTGTGAATGCTCTTATTCTCTCTGTTCGCATAAAAGTGGTGCTTGAAAGCCTAAGGCAAGCGACTGCACAACTTTGGAAAACAGAGTGACACGAGATTGAAGAGAGCTTATACTTTATTTACTTCATGCCAACATGTTGTTCTAATCGCGTATTGTCGCCATAACGTCATGTTCATAGACTCATGTTTGAATGATTCCTGTTGCATCGTTTCAAAGTTTATGCTTCCGCGTGTGTTGAGTGCGGCGGCAGGTCATATAAGTACGACAGTTCTCAGGTAATAGTTCCCTGTGCTATACGACAATATTGGGATCAAATTACGATCACGCCGTTGTTTTCTTTTGAGCATTTGCTTTCGGCGAGTCTCACGAGGACCCGAAGACTACGGGCCTGCGCAAGCCAACGTAAACTATTATGGTAAGAAAAAACGGGAAACCGCGCGAAATGAATCTTCCAACGTTAGAAACGTTTTGAAGGCGATAGTATTTTTTGGGGACCTTCGACGGAAAAATTTTGGTCAGCCTGTCTGTCTATACATTTGTCTATTCGTCCGCAATTAACAATATCTCATTTGGCTCCGAATGGCTGACCCCATCCACCGCGCCCACCAATATTACTCAAGGCTCAGCGTTCATAGTTGTGCGATTGACAATTAAAGAGCAATTATTGCGCATATCTGAGGTGCCATAACAACACGTTGATGTTATGTATGTGTGCCTTTATACTAAAAGAGGCACACACAAGTAACTCTAAGGACTGTATCGTTAATCGCGCTGCGCTGACAGTGCAACACGATGCTCAAAAAGGTAATTGTTTTCAACGTTTTGCTAAGACGACACGGTGTTGGCACCTGCCCGTCGCTTTGCGTTCTACAACTTATCACCTCCGAGACAGACGCGCATCTTTCACAGCGGGCACGCATGCCTTCGTTTTTGAAGATAACTTCCGATGGCGCTTGTGTCCAACGTGCCTCGATGAGCTCGTTCGCCTCCACTACATGCTCGAGGCACTCTAACGGAGCGCCTCCAGAATACCATTCACGGATTTTATTGCGCAGAACAACAAATAAACGTTTTGTTCCCTCTCTCCAGACGCAAGACTATCGTCTTTTGACGACATTTGCAGTGTAACATGTAGATTCGGGGCAAATTTTTTTAGCTAGCCCTTTTTTCATTCACAGAAGAGCTTCTCAGCAAAACTGTGCAAACATGACTGCTTACGAGTTGTCCATAATGTATTGGCACCGCCGGGAGATTTCTTGAAAAAGGCCATCTTGCTCACTTTGTGGACGTCTAAAGTTGTCGGCACTGAAAATGTAGATGATGGACTCCTTGACTCCAACCAAGGACGACCATGTTCCAACCTGCACCATTCAATAAGATACGCCACGATATATGTCACTTACAAAGATAATAGTGTATATGTTTTTTTATGCAAGAACCACGTTAGTTTGAAAAGTCAATATACCCAATCAGACACACCGAAAGGAGGTTTCACCGCAGTTCTCATGGCCGTGGCCACACATGCACTGGAAGACCACGGCGTTTGATACCTGCGTACAGAAGCGCCTTGGTGTGTTTCCATACGATGTCATTTTCTGAAATTGCGCTATCTCGCTGTTACTTCACTTTTTGCTGCGTGGCATCCGACCCTCTGACTTTCCTTTCAATCGACATTCTATATATCACCCTGCCGCAGTATTCTAACAGCTAAAGTACTCGGCTGCTGATCCGCTGGTCACGGGATCGAATCCCGGTTTCTTCGGCTGCATTTTCGATAAATGTGAAAACCCTCCCAGTTTTATTACCGTAGTCAACGAGAACCGGGTTCATTTGGACACTTAAGTGAAGTGATTTGAGCTTATTGCTAATGGTAAAAAAAATCCAAAAGAGAAATGGGCCACTGCCCTGAATTCAAGTCTGGATGTTGAGACAATAAAAGTGTTTTGCTGTTTGTCGCCTGAAGAATGATGCTATATGAGTCGAAAAAAAGGCTTCGATCCAGCGTTTCCGTTGTACTAGCGAGAAATATCGAGAGAAATTTCTTCGCAGCAAGGCCTTAGACAATGAAATAGCTAATCAGTACACAACTAGGCTGTACAGTTTACTTGATCGATAGGTAGAGATAGTCGAGCAGGGCAAACTATTGATGCAGTGCCAGATTTTGTGGTCACGGAAAAGTTTCTGAACAGTTGCCACGGGCGTATTTCGTTGTTCCTTCGTGAAAGGAACTGAAATACGGTCGGCGAAACAGCAGAGGCTGCGGACCACTGCATGGAAGTCCAGCGGCAAAATAACCTGCTTTTTTGTGAGAAAGACGAAAGGCGGCCGAAGAACCTTGGCGCATCTGTCAAGCCCCCAGGAAAATGTTTCGTTTGTTGCAAAGCAGGGCATCAAGCGTCCGACTGTCACACGAAAAATAGTTAGCCATATTGTGGCTTTTGCCGGAATGTGGGTCACGACACTCAATCCTGCAGACGGAAAAAGGGTGGAGGGTAGGAAGCTACAACGCGTCTCTTGACACCAGTCTAGGTCTCAGTAAAAAAGAACGTCGAGGTGGTCCAGTCAAGGTACAAAGCAAGCTTACGTGCATAAAGCCACTGGAGCCCACAACATGGCAGTCTTGCCAGGAGAAGTGTTTGGACAGAAGGTTTTAATGTTACGAGACACGGGCAGCAGCAGTTTGGTCATACGCAAGTTTTTGGTTTCTCATAATGCTCTGATTGGCCCCAAGGCAAAGCTGCTGCTCGTGGATGGGAGTACGATTGAAGCTCCAGAAGCGGAAGTTATCTCTTACCCTATTTCGCTGGTCACGTCATTATGAATTGTTTCGAATACCCTCTGTACGACATCATAGTCAGCATTCCATCTAGAGCACGTGACCATATGGACTCCAATCCTAAGTGGGAAAGCTTAATGAAAGACACGGAAAGTGGTTACGGGTTTCCACGAGAGGGCCATAAGCACACGTCGGTAAGCGCAAATGATTCTGAGATCGTGGGTGGAAAACACGTGAGGATGCGCCAGAAGATTCATCTGACACTAATGAACGTGTCAAGGCAGGAGTTTCAAAAGGAGCAGGAACAAGATGCAAGTTTGGAAGCTTGTAGAAAGAAGATAGGCCCGACCATTGTTAGCGCGGTATGAAAGTGCAGTCGTTTTACACGGGCAAGGAAATATTGTACTGTTCTTAGTTCTGGCCAGGGAAGGCCATGAAGCAAGCAGCGGTTTCCAGAAGTGACAGAGGCCAAACGTTGGTAGTGGCCCACGGATATACATTGTGGGGTCATCAGTGCATAAAGGACATCGAAAGGATACTCAGTACATTTTACTGGCCAGTCATTCAAGCGGGTGTTTTAAGATTTGTCTGGTCATGTGAATCTTGCGAACAAATCACATCAAAGGTAAAACTGAGCAAAGCTGTGGTCGCACGAATGTCACTAATCGAGAATGCATTTGAGCGAGTCGCCGGGGATAATACCCTTCATTTGTCGCAGATTTCAGGCAAGGAGAACGACTATATTCGGGCGCTGGTCGACTTTCCAACGAGGTACCCTGATGCTGTACCACTACATGCGATTGATTCGGCTACGGTAGCCGAAGGACTGCTCGAAACATTTTTGACAATTGATTTTGCTCGAGAAATATTTTGTTAAATGCATCCTGCTTCAAATCCAAGCGGATGAAGGACGTGAATGAATTGTTGGCCGTGAAACATCTCAGCTGCACTAATTATAATTCAATGTGCGACGGGATGGTTCAACGTTTTAATTACAAGTTGAAAAGACTGCAATGCAAGTTGTGTCAATAACAACCAAAGATGTGGTATTGTTTTCGCACACCACTTTTGTTTGCTCATCATGAGGTGCCGTGATGAGTTTAGGGTTTTCACCTCTGGAGCTGATAGATGGCTAAAAAACAAGCGGTCCGTAAAGTGTATTGAGGGAGCTGTGGACCAAATATCAAATAAGCGAGGAAAATAAAACAACGTACCGGCATGTATTCTATCCGCGAGAGCGGCTGCAAGAAACGGTAGCCTTGCGAGTCGAAACTCGAGGAAGGCTGAAGCCTCACAAAAGAAGTATTATGATCAGAAGAGTTATTCGTGACAAGTGAAGTGTCACGAAATGTTGGTATTGCTGCCGACCAAGCAGAACAAGCCGATGATGCATCAGGAAGGAGCTTTCGTTATGTCAGGAAAAAATGACTGTCTTGGTTGTACGTACGCAACACCACAAAACTGTTCCACATCAACATGTTAAAATGGTACGAGGCGAGAGAACCAATAGGTTCCATCTCAAGCGTCATCATTCCTTGTAGTTGAGGAAAGGAGACGGACAACACAATTGAATGTTTGTAAACAGAAAAAGGGCTTGGAATTGAAGCCATTCAAAAATAGGAAAACCCCAATGAGCTACAGAATAGACAGGTAAAGAACGTGTTGCAAAAGCACAAGGACATCTTCTCCGAGTCTCCGGGGAGAACAAACTTGGTGGAGTGTCGACTGGAATTGGCGACTTCAGATCGCTTATGTGCACCGCAATAGCCTTTAGCTTTTGCAATACAGCAGATTGTCAAAAAAGAGGTGAAAATATGCTAGCAATCGCTGTGATTGAACAATCACAGTCTCTCTATAATTCGCCTCTAATCCTTGTTAAAAAAACCCGATAAAACCTATCGCTCCTGCATAGACTTCTCGCGCGTGAACAGTGTACAGATATTCGATGCTGAGCCGATTCTGAGAGCAGATATTTGCAGACGTCGGAACTAAGAAGTACTTCTCGAAGTTGCATGTGACCAGCAGATATTGGCAGGTGCCACTAGAAGCACAATCGCGAGGAAAGACCGCTTTTTCATTAAAGTTAGGCTGCCACCTTTTTTTATATATTCCATTTAAGACAAAAGCGGCATCGGCTCTTTCTACAAGGGCTGTCTTGGTTGGAATTCTGTATGTCGTGCATAATATAGATGATGTACTTGTTGCCATCCATACATGGAAAGAACATTAACAGACGCTGGAACACCGTCTACAGATGTTGAACAGTCGTCTATCACTATTTTCGCGCGCAAATCTGCTCCTAAAACGCAATGATCAACGACTAGCAATCACCGATGAGCAAATATTTCTGGAGCTTACGTTTTTGCCCTAGCTGCTTCAAGAATTTTCCGCCGAAACACCAAGTTCATGATTTTTCTGGACAGCAACCATTGTAAATGAGTCACTTTACGATGATACTATTGACCTATCGCATGGTTCGTCGTCCAGGCTTTTTGCGACACTTGATAGTTACACTCTTTTTCTCCTTGTTTTGAAAGAAGATTCTAGGGGAAAGAAGATTCTGAACCTGAAGACTGCAATCCAAAGACAGCACAGTGGTGAAGTTAGAATACCAGTTGTATGCCAAGATCCTCAGTCGAACATGTTCACTTCTCTACCCTTCTACATATACTTGCCAGCAACATATCATAAACAAAAAATGGCCTCAATCTGCACGTTACACAGCGAATGCCATGGAAAGACGATAGCATTGCGCCTGGAGAGAGTGGACAAAACGTTTAGTTGAGGCTCTGTGCAAGAAAATCGGTGAATGATATTCTGGAGGCGCTGCGTTAGAGTGCCTCGAGCGAGTGTCGGAGGTGAACGAGCGCATCGAGAAATGTTAAACACGAACGCCATCTGGCAGTTATCTTCAAAAATTAAGGCATGCGCGCCCGCGGTGAAAGATGCACGCCAGTCTCGGAGGTGATAAGGCAGCGACGGGCAGCTGTCACTAACATGTCGTCATATCAAAGCGTTGGAAACGCTTACTTTTTTGGGCATCACGTTGCACTGTCAGTGCGGCGCGATAAACGCTACAGTCTTTAGAGTTGCTTGTGTGACTCTTCCAGTATAAAGGCAGACATACAAAACATCAACGTGTTGTTAAGGTGCCTCAGTTATGCGCAATAATTGCTTTTTAATTGACAATCGCACAACTATTAACGCTAAACCTTGAGCGATATTGGCGGGCGCTGCTAATGGGATTGGCCTTTTAGTGCCGTTTGAGGTATCGAGAAGGGCGGACAAACAGACAAATGTACGGACAGACAGACGGACAGACAGACAGACAGACAGACAGACAGACAGACAGACAGACAGACAGACAGACAGACCTAAATTTTTATGTTGAAGGTCCCCAAGAAAGGCTATCGTCTTTGAAATATTCGTTTTAAGCGTTCAATATTGAGATACAGGCTGAACTTCGTGACTCTTGACGCCAAGTGAATTATCCATGAATGCTGAAAGGTTTCTCGGTGGTGTGCCACTCTGGATGAGCATTGTTCATTGCATGTGCTAAAGGAACATGCTGCAGTAATTACCCGGCTGAGTGTGTGTGATCCAGCGACGTGGCCTTGGTCTACAGTGATGCCGTGTCCTGTAGCGAAGCGCCGGTTACCGTCGGGGATGATGCCCATAGATTGCGGCACGGGCCCCAGGCTCAGTATCCATGCGAGCAGCCTCTCATACCAGGCCATCGGCGCCACGGCGAAGGCGCCAAGCTCGTCAGCCGGACACATACCTGCGCCTTATAAACCCTCGCAACACTCATGCAACGCGAACCACTCTGCACTGGTAAAGAAGAATCGAGGATTGAAATCGTACTTTTGCAAAATGGGATTCAGGAAAAAACAATAAGGAGGCTATGCTCAGCGTAAAACGCTTTCTTTAGCTCCCTCAAAGCTAACGCCAAGATATGCTGCACTGAATGGTGCAAATGAAATAATATAGAGGTAGCAGTTCCTCGAATTCTTACCGTTCTGGGAGAACAACTTAGTGGGGAAATGGTGCAACAAGGTAACAACGCTGGTACCATGGACTGATGACGTTTTAGATGCACTTCCAATTTTTTCTGAGATTCAGTCATACTCAGCAGGCAAAATGCTTGAAGCTGGATTACCACGCAAGCCATAGATAAACTATGTGTTTAGCAGTCCTTCATTCGACACATATGCGTCAGGCAGTACCAACAATACAAATTTTGCGCGACTATTTGATAAGCATTACAATTTGCAATAATTCATGCCGAGAAGTACAAGCAAAGTTTAGATAATTTTTTTTTGATTTGGCAAACTCATCATGACTTCTACTTGGAGCTCGCATTTAGCATAATGTAAAGGCTCTTGTTCCACATGCTGTCGTCATACTTGCAAGGCAGTTGCCGTACAAGCCAGAATCGGCTTGGCAAAAGCTGATGCTACGTAAGTGCCTGTTTTTTTATTCTGTTGCATTCCTTTTTTTATTCACAGCAACGAGCACTAAATGCGCGTACTTTACAGGTCTTGAATGTGTGAACAGGACGTGTTGAGTGCATTCTAACTGCAAATCTAAATCACTCTTGACTTACATTAGGGCGTGCGTATGGGGCCGTTGTACTATGAAGACCGCGTCACTCCATGTGTCAAAATTAAACTAGAGGGTCGCGCTTACACCCAGGTCTTATGTCAACTACAATCAAGATAAATCGGTGCCGATCAGTCCCCAGTTGATCATTTTAGTTTCGCAACTTCAATTTTACTTTAATTATACATAATATTACCAGTAATGTTATTATTATGACTATAAATATTAGTTTTGATGATTAGAGTAGTAGTAGTAGTAATAGTAATAATAATAGTAGGAAATCGCCTTACATGCTTGATCAAACACCAAAATTGACCAAGTGACCATCGCCGTCGACAAGAGTGATACAAGAAATCATCATATTGTCTCGTGGCCAAAGAAGACGCAGGGTTCTAAAAGAAGGTTCATTTGAGCAAAACTGTGTTCTTTAACAAGGCAAAAGAAAGCGCTGAGAACAGTTAACAAAATAACGTGTTCAGGTGAGCGTCGGTGGGCAATAAAGGCAGTCGCGGCGTTACACTATCTGATACCATCGGATTACACTGACAACCACAGTTGGGTGGTGACAGGCTGAAATAAACGCCATATCAAAATAAGATAGCTATAGTGTGGCATACGAGAGAGAGAAGAAAACTTGTACTCTGCTTGAAACATGGGTAACACGATTGGTTGCGGTCGTAAGTTGAGCGCAAAACAGCTAGAACAATATTTGAGGCATAAACCATAACATTATGATCAAGCCACAGGTCACAAAGTTTCTAAACAAATAATGACGTCACACAATTTTACCTTACATAATGACAAGGCCACATTATGTCACTTGGTGTTAGGTGGGCTGTTTCCGGGAACATGTGCGGCGCAGGAGGATTGATGTACCACTAATACTGGAGTCATTGGAAAGCTTAGCTATGCTCAGAAAGTTTTAGGGTGAGTAAGGAACAGTACAGTGGAGTTTGAAGGAAAGAAAAGAAGATGACTTTTGCTTGCAAGTCATAATAGACGAGTGCTTACTTGTCCCCCCGTGAGCTTATTTAGTAATATTAAAAGTGCTTTCAAGCTCTATTATTGCTTCCAGACAGACTATAAAACTTCTTTACCTCTTGGGTGGTAGGAAGAATTGCATTTTTTTCGAGCTCTCTGTAAGCGCCAGCATAGACGACATAATAGCTGATATACTGAATTTTCACCGAACGCGCTTCTGACTGGCCAGATTAATTTTGAAAGGATATCCAATCCAATGATCTTGAAAATGTGGAGTATCCCTTAAAAAAGCAGACCCAAAATAAATAGAAATCGAAGCCTCCTTTGCTTGTTTTGCAACGTATTCCTAATCAGATTTCACAATTTCAGACACGAGCACTCGAGCTACAGTCTACACCCAAAGACGGCTACTTCATGTTGTTGTGCGTCACGCGATGAAGAGTTCATCTTTGAATACGTGAAGAACGTGATGTCGTCCTTATCATGTGGTCCAGATGGCATATCATGAGCAATACAAAGAAGTTGATGAGTATGATTGTTCCATTGCTTCGTGTGATATTCCCATATTTGTTCCGATACTGCATATGATGTCTGTATGCGAAAAGATCCCCGAGGCCGTGATACACTGCACATGTTTTCCTTGTATTGAAGTGTGGCGGCAAAGCTAGTTTTTTGAACTCCGTGGCTCTGTAGTGTACGTTCTTTTTCGCTGATCTTACAGATTCCTATAAAACATTCTGCAGAAACCGCATACCTTGAGAATCAACGTTATGTGAAGATTGTGGAGGGAAGGGGGCCGTGTTTTAATTGGATATTGGGTGACACGTTACGAAGTGATGCTAAATATATGTACAAATGATGAGCGCATATAGACACATGCTGAACAGTTTCGGATACTTACTTGGCCAGCGTTTGCACGTGCGCAATGATGCCAACAGGAACATTAGTATTAGCAACACCAGAAGCGAAAAGCTGATATCAAGCGCTGGTGCTCGCGAAGATGGTAGCCCTGGACACTGCTACGTAAATCGACTTCAGAGAATGTCACGTAACTACAATTGACGTTATCCTGATATGACAGTTGTATGATAAGAGGACATACGTAAAGTTAAAAAAAGTGAATACCCGAGCACTGCAAGCACAATTGATGTTTCACAAACATGACGGTCTATTTCAAAAGTAGTTCCGAGACCTGCCACGCCACAGTGGTATAGTAGCTAAAGTACTCGGCTGCTGGCTCGCAGGTTAAGAGATTGAAGCCCGGCTGCTGCGGCTGCATTTTCGATGGAGGCGAGAATGCTGTAGGCTCATGTGCTTAGATTTGGGTGCGCGTTAAGAACCCCAGATGGTCGAAATTTCCGGAACCCTCCAATGCAGCTTCTCTCATGACTGTATGCTGCTTTTGGGACATTAAACCCAATATATCAATCTATCAGTTGCGAGACCTGGCGTGGCTTTGTCGTAGACTACTCGATTGCCACGCGGAATGCTTAGGTTTGATTCCTGCTGAGGCAATGATATTTATTGTGTGCGTTCGCTGGCTCAATGCTACTGATCTCAGCTTTTTAACGCTAACACGGAAAAGTTACCCATGTGTGTTCTCACTATTCCTGGGCAGATATATCCGTCACCTGTCCCACATTCCCCGCATACCAGCGGCACATACCCGCCAGTGGTTACTTGTCACTGCTCAAAAGGAAGTTTTTATGGCGACGTATGCGACAAGTATGTGACAATATTTAACACCTAAATACCGCGTCATATTCGTCAAACCTTCTTACCCCCTCCCCCATACTAATTTCGGTTGCCGCCAAGAGTAGAAGGTGAGGCCCCACTGCGGAAATCTGGTAGCTAAGGTACTCAGCGGCTGACCCGCATGCAGCTCGCGAGATTGAATCCCGCCTTCAGCGGCGGCAATTTTAATGGAGGCGAAAACGCTGTAGGCCCGTGTGTTCAGATTTGGGTGCAACTGAAGGAAACCCAGGTGGTCGAAAGTTCCGGAGCCTTCTACTGTGGCGTCTCTCATAATCATAAGGTGGTTTTGGGACGTTAGACCCCCCATATCAATCCATCAAGAGAAAGGGGGTGATCACTGGAGCACCCATTCGTAAGTGGCTTGATAGATAGATACGCATATAGACGCCAAAGGTGCTTGCAGTATGCCAAAAATGCTTTGCATTTATTATATTCTTTTTAGCTGTCACATAACTACCACAATTTTCGCTGCTTTCAGGATGCACACCTGCAATCCTAAAACTAGTATGCAACACGTTCGCACTATTTACAGTAGTCTTTTACTCCGGCTATTGGCTTAGTCTGTGGCTCACTGCTAATCGCTGAACGTGTACACCGTGATCATGACTCCTAAGCTCCAAATATTAGACATAGAGCTGTTCTTGATAAATACTGTTAATGTTACCGTCAATGGCCAGACGCATAGTTTCTACAAGCCGAGTAGTGATGTCCCGTAGGTGTCGGCATTAGGCCTACTGCATTTTAAAATACTTTGTTATGACGTTTGTTTGGCCACACGGATCTTTTTTACTCTTACATATGCCGATGGTATGAAGGTCGTCAAATAAATACATTGTGTTAACGACTCATCCTTCTGGCATTTATGCATGTTTTCTTTTTCGGAAAGATAAAAGAGAAACAACCCCACGCATATTATTTTGATGACTAACGTTACAAAATTCACTCGCGAAACGCCAGGCGTACTATTTTGTTATTGCGATTTTTACGTCATTATGCAAGATTTGTCACACCAATGACCTCGGTATTCTCATTGCAGCACATTGCGTCTACTACAAGGCGCACTTCTACAAGGCGTGTTGCTAGGTGGGGCCTTCTTTTTCAATTATTCTATACCATACTGTGAACTGTAAATTCTAATATGCCTTCTTCAAGCTAAATATGCAATTCTGACCTACGCTGCCAATTCTGAATCTCGTAGCGTGACGAAATAGGGCTAAAATTTTTCTGGGCATATATATCTATCGCTTTGATGGCTTTAGAATGTCAGTTTTCTGTATATGTTTAGAATGCTACATATCGTTCAAGCAGTGTAAGAATATTGTCGTTGATTTGATTGATTGATTTGTGGGGTTTAACGTCCCAAAACCACCATATGATTATGAGAGACGCCGTAGTGGAGGGCTCCGGAAATTTCGACCACCTGGGGTTCTTTAACGTGCACCCAAATCTGAGTACACGGGCCTACAACATTTCCGCCTGCATCGGAAATGCAGCCGCAACAGCCGGGATTTGATCCCGCAACCTGCGGGTCAGCCGCCGAGTACCTTAGCCACTAGACCACCGTGGCGGGGCTAGAATATTGTCGTTGTCATTGATATCATGCCCACGAAATAGCACTGATTCGACGTTTCCAGTCAAGATTATTCAATCAATCACAACCTGCACTGAACCACTCAGTTCAAATGTTTAGCTATTCAGTATAATTCTGCTTGGCCCAACCAAAGATTCAAGCACTTTTTTTGTACAGGTTACTCCAAATTAGACCATATTCATTCTATCAGTGAGGTAATGGAGAAATTCGCGGAATACAACCAACCCCTATATATAACTTTCATAGATTACGAGAAGACGTTTGACTCAGTCGAGACATCAGCAATAATGCAGGCACAACGGAATCAGGGCATTGAAGAATCGTACATAAACATACTGGAAGAAGCATACGGTGGATCCGCAGCCACCATAATTCTCCATAAAGAAAGTGACAATATCCCAATAAAGAATGGTGTAAAGCAGGGTGACACAATGTCACCAGTGCTATTCACCGCGTGTTTACAGAAGGTCTTCAGGGCCTTAGGTTGGGAAGAGTTAGGGATAGTAGTTGATGGAGACGATCTTAGTAACCTGCGATTCGCGGGTGACACAGCTTTGATGATCAACTCAGGAGACGAATTACACCTCATAATTACAGAGCTAGAGAAGCAAAGCAGAAAAGTGGGCCTGAAAATGATATGCCTAAAACTAAAGTAATGTGCAACAGTCTCGTAGGAAAACAGCGCTTTGTGAGAAGTGTAGAGTCGTTGGAAGTTTTAAAGAAATATGACTACTTAAGACAGGTAGCAAACGCGGAGCCGAACCATGAGAGCGAAATAACTAGAATAATAAGAATGGGGTGAAACACATTTGGCAAGAATTCTCAAATTATGAATGGTAATCTGCTTCTAACCCTGAAAAGGAAGGCACCTAACAGCTGCATCTTGGCAGTACGTTATACAGCGGGAACCTGGAGGCTTAGAAAGAGGGTTCAGGTCAAATTGAGAACGACTTAGCGAGCGATGAAAAGGTAAATTATACGTGTAACCTCAAGAGACAAGAATATGGCAGAGTGGGTCAGGGAAGAAACCGGGGTTAAGGACATCATAGTTGAAATAAAGCAAAAGCAATGGACATGGGCCATACACAAAGCACGTAGGCAGGCTGACCGGTGGTCGTTACGCGTAACTGACTGGATTCCCAGAGAAGGCAAACGCATGAAGGGGGGGGGGGGGGAGAGTTAGGTAGGCCGAGGAGATAAAAAAGTTTGCAGGTATAACGTGGCAACGGAAATCACAAGACCGGGATGATTGGCGGATCATGGGAGAGGCCTTTGCCCTGCAGTGGGCGCAGTCAGGCTGATAATGATAATGATCAGCATATAGCCTAGCCCGTTCCATGTACATGCTGCCTCAATCACCGATCAATGGCATACAAAAACTAACAAAGCCACTAAAGCACAGTGATTCCTAGATCAGTTACTGAGCAGATCATCATGTTTACAGTTTCACATCACATCATTTTGCGTTCTTGGGGCACTGCGCATTGTTTACACGCATCAAACCCATTTCAATACTCCCGACATGTAATAAATCATCACAATATTTCAGTTTTGATAAGTTTTAACCCGTCATATTATTTTACAAGGTTCACTTGTAAGGTTCGCCGCACTTACCTATGCGTGTCCTGCTGGAAATTCGTGCTCTTTTTCGTCTCCCTGAAAGCGATCTTGCCGCTCGCGAATACTACCTTGGAGTTCTGAAAGGGCGGAAAGGCCTTTATACCCGTTTAACTGCTTGCTCGAGTGGCAAACATTTACTCTTCGGTGGCGTGCTTACTTTGACCTGGCAAACATCCCAGCGATTCCTTCCATGACTTTCCTTAACGTGCAAAGCACATATTTTCAAAGCTGGAACCCCGTTTCTGGTGCCAGTTTCCACGTTTCATCTAGACGTTTGGTGTAATTGGTGTGTCAGTTGCTATATCGGTATTACATGCGAGCCATATTCAATATGTAAGGCTTGTTGATTATGCCTAAATGTTGAAGGGTATGAACAAATGCGTGCGAATGCAAGATCAAGTGTTACTTTTAACGGCAAAGATGTACCACGCCGTAATTGGTCGGCTGGAATAATAAGTGATCATATACATGATGATTGGTTGGTCGGTTGCTTGATCTGTCGGTCGGTCGGTTGGTTGGTTAGGCCCTAGAGGAGTGGCCTAACCCACCAGGGGGTATCGGTTATGAGTGGCGCGGGAGTGGGATTTCGAAAAATAAGGGGAAGGGGATGCCTGAAGACTTTTTTGGTAAAAAATTATTTGTGCTAACAGTATATTATGGATTGTTATAAAGAAAAATAAACAATGATAAGTATAGAGAAAAAAGAGTTACAGTGAAAATACACAAAATAAATAATGATAAACTTAGGTCATGAGTATTTATTTGTGATATTACCGAGGTAGCCATTTTGATTCTTTTACATAATTATATACCACTTCATTCATGCCCCCCCCCCCCTGCCAAGACACAGTGCGACGACCCTAGGGAAAGTAATACCGTTTCACACAGTTTGAGCCCTTATGTTTCCGGAAAGGTGCTGTCACAAATATTTGCCTTGAATTTCGATATGTGCAGCATTCTGTAATAACGTACTCTATGGTGTCTGCTTGTTTAGAGTAGTAAAAATGAGGAGAGGGAACGAAGACAGGGCTGTACAGATAACAACTTAAAGTTAGAATTCTGCATTGCAACTCAGTAAATGTCACTTGACATTGTTTTCTTGCACATCATGAACTATATCACTGAAACTAAGTTGATAAAAATCTGTTTCATTTAGACAAGCAGAGTTGGTCTGTTCCTGCTGTATAATGGAATTTAGAAATCGCGCGATTGTGTGGAAGCATTAGGGTCTTAAAATATTCAGGACGGAGCCCTGAATCTATACTGCTGCCAATACGTCCATCGCTTCATTTATTGCTCATTCCGTCAGACCTAGCACCCAAACGAAATAGACATCTGAAACATAATTAGCCATGTATCTACAGAACTCTGATGAACAAGGCAATATCTTTTGTATTGTCAGAACAATGAAAACGTACAAAGATTTAGTCATTATAGCCACAGAAAACGTAGAGATTTGGAGCTCGCGTATGGCCAGAATAACTGCCAATAATTCTGCCGGAAATATTGGCGTAAAACTGGGCAGTCGGAGTGAAGAAGACCAGTTTATCTGTGTTAAATAGATGCCCACACCAGCTTACTCAGCAGTAACGGAAGCATCTGTGGCTATATATGGATCTGTAGGCTATATAGGTGGTTTTCCAGTAACCCCCCTAATTATCTGACCGACAAATGTTAAGTATTTTTAATCTACTTAATGAAATTCTATTCTTAATTTAGCATTTATACTTGTGAGAAACTTACATCCCGGATTTCAACTTCCAATAGCTTTGCACAACCTATTGGAGGTCGATGCAGCCAAGACCACCCACAATAAAAACATGCATGACTTGATGCAGACTGGAAAAAGCGCATCCCGTTGTACGTTAGAGAGTCACTGTCCATCACACCTATTCCACTCAACATGCATCCTACTTTCCACAAAAGTAGACGCAAGGCTACAGCTGATTCTATTCAACGAAAGTTCAAGCAAGACCCGGACTCCCACTACACTGAAGCGGCCAAGTATCCGCATAGAAACGCGCACGCTGCCAGCGTCGTAGATTCTCAAGGCCGAGAATTAGCGTTGGTCACGGTCAACGCACTCAATTCAGACGCAGCAGAATATTCGGCTGTCGCCCTAGCAACAAACACATGTACAGATGCCGCAGTGATTTTCACCGATTCGCAAGCCGCCTGCAGGATTTCCGCTAAGGGCCGTATCTCAGCCAATGCCACCAATCTTTTGAAACGGCGAAACAATCCACTCCCCTACACTTGTATATTATGGGTGCCGGGGCACGAGTGTCTGCAGGGAAATGAAGCAGCCCACGCTGCGGCCCGCGAGCACGTCAGCTGGGCTGCCGGCTGCTCACAGGACATCCGACCCGTCGTCGAAAAGACGGAAGTTGTTCAAAACAGCTACTTGTTGTTACTCCGGCATTACAGGCTGGAGCAACGAGTATGCCCTCCACCACACCCAAAACTGGCAAAAGAGGAAAGCGTGATACTGAGACGCCTGCAGAGCAGCACATACACACATGGGGCCCTAATGCACAGTCTCTACCCAACGAGATATAGCTCTATGTGCCCGCTCTGCAGCGTACTGGACACCCTGGCACACTTGCTTCTTGCATGCCACTGTATTTCCAGACGTAATCTGCAACAACACACAACTGATAATGAAGCGGGACAGGCTAACGAATACCTAACCGAAACGTGGGAGGCGAAGCTCGCCCTCGAGGACCTAGAAGACCAACAACAACGCGTCGCCAGGGCCAAGAAGGCAGTAAAGCCAGAGGGTTCCTGGACTAAGGAGCCCTACCACCCCAAGGTGACACCAGGCATTGCTCGGGGCGCTGTTTAGAAAACAAACCTTTATTTCTCTCTCGCTCATAATACATATTGGGAGCGTCTTTGTGTGAATGCATAGATGTTAAGAAATGTTTGAGCAGGTAAGTTACGAAAAGTTGTTTCAGAGAGGGCATATATTCTTAACGATAAAGAACATCACTTAGCGACAAACTTGGGGAGGCCCAAACATACACTCAAAGGCAAAAGGGTGCTAAAAGGGTGTGTGGTTCGTCTTTTAGGGACTAATGGGGCTGCCACAACCATTATTTCATTTGAGGACAAACAGCAATGGGTCTAACAGTGAGTCCCCGCAGATGAGCTCAAGGGACTAACATTTAGTCCTCACACTTACACCTTAGTGAGTAACCGTTAGTCTTACAATTCACCTCAGTGGACTAATATTTGGTCCTCACATTTGCACCATATAGAGCAATTGTTAACCTCCCCATTTACACCTTACCGGGCAACCGTTAGTCTTCACAGTTGCACCTTGCCGGACGAACGGTTGATCTACTCAAATACTCCAATCGGACAAACATTTTGTCCCCAGTTCAAGCATTGTTGTTTGTTTATTTTCCAACAAGCCTAATACTTTTCTCGCCTGTTTTTCTGCGCAGTGAGCAACGAATTGCGCAGAAAAGAACACGCGAAAAAGTAGTTAGCCACCTATGTGTAACTGCTTTCGCAGTCACGGCAACAACGAACGACAAAAGTGAGACATCGAAATCTTTTATTTTTCGACATACACATGAAGTTTCTCCATTCTTTTAAGTGAATTCACGTTGAAGTGTACAAGTCCAGTCTGGTTGTCAAATCTTGTTCACTCCTTTGGGAGCTCCTCCGACGGAAGCGATAGATGACAGACATTGCAGACGCCAGCACACGCAGCCTCCTGGCTGTTGTGTTCCCACGGCTGCACGTACAATAATATAAGAAAAATTGTTAGGCACGCGTCAAAGAAGACGAAGATGCGCGCATATGACAAGTACGTGCACGTTAATATAAAAGCAAGTGTTAAAACATGACACACAAATAACTTTACCTTCACATCTCGCACAGTCCTTCTGAAGCTGCTCTGACGAAAGAGATAGATGACAGGCATCGCAGACGCCAGCGCACACAGTCTTCAGCACGCTGTGTGCCCACGGCTGCACAATAAGTACGTAAAATAGTGAGTCACATGTGACAGAGGATGAATACAAATGCGTATGAGAAATACCTGCAAGTGGAAATGAAAACATACGTGAGATATGACATGCTAATAATTTCACCGTGATGTCACACATCGTCAGAGACTCATTTCGAACCCCGTAGCACAACAGCTAAGGAGCGGCGGCTGCAGCCACAACTCCACGAACCTCCATGCCGCTAACAAGTCAGCGAGTCCTAAGCGAGCGACGTCGTTCAGCTCGAGCAAGCGAACGCGAGAGCAAACACGGCGTTGCACGCGGAGTGTCTGCCGCCAGCGAACTTCGAGCAGGAAAGCGAGCGCACTCTTTGCCGCCGTCACGAACAGCACCGAGCTGGCTTGGAGCTAGCGCCGAAGAAATCGACGGTAATGCGGCCATTTTCCACAAAGTCGAGCGAGTGCAGCGCGCAAACGCAAGTCCGCCGCCGCGGCCAGTGGACGGCGCCGAGCTGCTAGCGACCGACTGTAATGGCGACAGATTTTCAGTGAGTTCCGACGCTAGCGAAAGCCCCGCCAGCCCATGCTGATGCACTTACAGCGCGCGACATACTACAACCAAGCTTTTTACGAGAACCCGCAACGTGTTTTCGATGACTGCCAACACAGCGACGAGGTCTCAGTCCAATATCGTCAGCCCGGAGCTCATCGCGGCGGCAAAGACAGGCGAGCACTCGAGCGAGTGTGCGGGAGGCTGACGGCAATGGCGGCCAATTTCAAGGCGGTCGCAAAGCACAAGTGAACTGCAGACGCCGAAGCTGATTTTGCGATGCATTTCGTGTGTGCGATATACAACACGACCGAGCCCGTTGCCGGCAAGCGCGATCCGTATCGCACACACGACAAGTAGAGTAGAATAAAGAATGATAACCTACAAGTCTTAGAATCAAGCGCTGTTTTCTGCCCTGAGTTGGACTGAAGTTTATACCTGATAGGCTTGTTGACTTCTCGGCCGCCATGTTGGCTTCCCCAACTGTTGCTGTCGTTTGTTGGTCGTGACTATCTTGAAGCCAGAGATATACAGCATGGCGTGGTGA